AGGCAGCTGCAGTGTTGATCTGAACAGATGGGGTGGGTATCGCCGGTCAAACAGCCAAACAGTCAAAATTTCTTTTAAGCATCTCTGTTCTCTGGCTTATGATTTTGAAGCTGCATGTCCTTTCAGCCACCCACTTGGTTAACATTATCCGTGCTCCAATCTACAGAACAGACGAGCAGGGAAATTTTGGGAAGAGTCAGCTCTCTGTTTGAAAAAAAGGATTTGTCTTTGTCAATATGTGTCGGCGCCATGTGCTTACCATCACACAAGATGTCTTTGGCTCTGGAGGTCCTCACTTTGATTCTCTCAAGTCTCATCTGGACCCTGTACATGATCCCAAATTTTTATATAAAAGACAGAGATGCAGAGGTTTATCATCCTATAATCACATAATTAACTGAAGGTTAGACCTTGGAAATATATCCTGGCCCTGAATGCACGCAGAAATCGTGTAAGTAAAGACCGCTCCAACCTTAATATATCCAGTAAGGACCAGCGTTGTGGTTGGAGCAATCCGAAAGGGGAAAACTTTGCTCCAAATGTAGTAGTAGCAGTTGTTGCTATGGCCTTCAGAAACGATGGACACTTGACTGTACCAGAATGTGTTGGTAGACAGTATGAAAGGAAGTTGCTGTGATGAGAAGGCATGAGCAGCCGGACAGACGCTCACCAACCCAACTGTGGAGCCTCTCTGGTATCAACTGAAAGGTCACAAAAGTATCTAAAGTCTGTCAGGAAATAATGAGCTTTCAGCAGGTTCATAGAGAGCCAAGGACTGATCTTAAGAAAAGGCACCGAGGTGATTGGGAAGAAGCACTTGGAAGTGCTACTGAAATCAAATGGTGTACCTCAAAAGGAAAAGATGCAGGCAGTGATTGATTATTATCATTTAATAGAAAATTATTCAGACATTCATAGTTATAAAGAATTAGTATAAGCATCTTTATATAAAAAAAGCTAGTAGAATGGCAAAAACAAATGGCAGTAGTTGGCACAATAAGCAGATAACATCAAAATACTACAGTATGTTTTCATGAGCAATTTCCTGCACATACAGAAGGCAAAACACATGAGCAGATATTTGCATCATAAGATCCGAAATTACCAAGAGGCAAACCAGTAAATCACAGTGGAGATATGACTGGCAATAACATTATCTCTTACATTGCCCAGGGACTAAATCGCAGAACCCATGTGATCCAAAGCTTACCGAAAATAGCAATATGAGCAACACAAAAGCAGTTTGTTAACACCACAAAGCAGATTCGAATTCTTTTGGCATATTATCTCATTCTACTAACCAGCTTTTTAACCAAAAAATAGCAATAACGACAGCAAACAAAAAATTAAGAAAGGTTCGCTCCTAGAAAAACTGAAATTGACCTCACAAGTTCATATTCCTCCCAGCACTACAAAATAAGAAACATTTATGAAGTGGCATCTAACTGAGATCAAAATATTCAAAACCTCGAGTACGTATTTTTGCTCTTGCGACACTTAGTTTCCTGCACTGGAGTTCATTATTTCTTCAACGTTCCATCTGCCAATTGAAGCTCCTGCTAGTTTATATGATTTGGGCTACAACTCCATCTTAATTTGGTCCGTCCATGTGGATGTGGCTGGCCGTGCAGTAACTACTGACTAACTACTTTTCTTGGCAAATCGTTGGGCCTCAAACTGATCGAGGCCCAGGCCCATACTTTTGGGCCTACATATGCAAACTCCACAAGCCTTCATCATCATCATCAGTCAAGTACTAATAAGGATAATCTAAAAAAAAGTACTAATAAGGAGCATCTCGTCCTGAAAGGAAACTACAATTCCACTAAAAAAATAAATAAAGATACCATCAGTGGAATTAGTTATCAGCAACTCTGACTTCTCTTTTTTATTTTTTATTGAAAAATACTAGAGAGGAACATTTGTGAACGCACAGCCAACAAGAACTTCATTTCGAGAAAGGGACACAAATACTAAAAGCTCTTCAACTGGAATGATGGGGGAAGCACCACAAGCACAATTTCCGAGGCACCTGTTCATCACCAGATAATACTATCATCACTGTATAGTGCACTGCATTACTGCATCCCCCGGCCTATAGCTTCTGCTCTCTTTGCTTTCCAAGCTTTATCCTGTTCGGAATGAGCAATCGTTATTATGGTGATCGATCGCACATGGTTTTGGTCTTTTTGGGGGCCAAAGTTCGTGCATATTTTGACTCCTCCATTACGAGCTCTAGCTAATGGTAATGCTTGCTGCAAAGAGCCAAAGACCTCGATCACCTTCAATTCTTCTTTTGCTCCTCCATGAAAAGCAGCTGCATGCACAAAAACAAAGACACAGCACCAGTCTTGCTTTCCATTACGTGCTTTTACGTCTTGGGATCAGTGCTAAATTAAGTCGGTTGATTAGTGGGGTCTAATCACTATCAAGTGCCATAATAAGCCCTTGCCTTTATTTTTTCCGTGCTTAGCTTTATTTGCTTGTTTGAGTGATGACCAGCCAGCAGCCCCTTGACCAGGATGCCAGCTGTTGAATGCCTGCCTGAAGAATCCAAATAAATACTCCTGCTACCCCATGCTAATACTAAAACTTGGTACAAGACACAAAGTGCCAAGGCAAACAAAACTAAATGAGCCTGCATTTGACTTTATGAGACAGCCATCTAAACTTCAGGGGCTGTTTCTCATGACATGCATTTTTTTTAGCAGCAATAAACTGTAATCTTTCAACTCGAGGACAGCAACAAATACGTGTAGCTCACAAATTCGATCGCTTGTCACCTTCCCTGTGGTTTGCATATATAATTGACCTGACCTAGCTAGTCTGTGATCTTGAGACAGTGATAAGAACAAGCTAAGCTTGACACGCTGTTAGGGCCGGACGGCCGGCCACCTAATGACGGGCTATTAGCATCCTAGGCTACCTAACCATGTGTGTAGATCTTGTTATTCTAAGCCACATTAATCACGCGTTAAATCTACGGCTTTGCATGGATCGATAAAGCAAGAGGGTACGGTGGATTGATCGCAAAAGTCACTGACCTATCCTTGTTGTTAAATCAGCTATAACAATCGTCGTCGTCTTCAAGCAGATTATTAGTACAGTATTGATCAAGATTTGTTTGTTCAGGTTAATTCGTCTTGTTGTGTAGTATGTAGCTTGGTTGCTTAATCTGCAGGCAGCAGCTAGCTTTAGAACATCTGAACAGTTAGCTGTTCTTCGGCGTCGATCATCAAGAGCCTTAGCTGCTAGTAGATGTGAAAAGAAAATTTGATTTAGTAGCTAGATATCAGTAGCACATTAGCCTTCCCTTTTGTAATGGATTCAGTAAGAACACGCATGTCTGAATGAAAATTTTAGAGTTCCAAGATACTAACCCTACAAATAAACCTACTGATTGTTGTCCTTATCTGATGTCTGAAATAAAGAAACACTGCATTATTTGGCATGTCTATCTCAATTACCGCAATGTGATTAACATTGGATAGTCAAGCCCTCCCATCCCATGGCTATCATACCATGCTCATCAGGCTTTTGGAGTGTGCCAGCAGAGTCATTTTCTTTCACAACACACTACTACCACAGTAGGAGTAAGTTGGTCAATCCTCCAATCACAGTCAATTCTACCAAGAAATCAGCCATTGGGATCAGTGGCCTAGCTATGTAGCCTCACCGTGTTTCTGTTTCTGTGCAATGTGCGTACGTGCTTAGGTTTAAAAGGTCAACAGTACTGTAAAACACAACAGTCCTCTCTCCTGTTGTGGTTGCAGTTGTAGGACGCAAAAGTAAACGTTGCTGCGGCAGAGGAGTTCATACCCTGTCCTTTGTCAAGGGGACAGTCACTCTGCATGGCATGGAAAACTAGGATTAGCAGCAACAGCAGCCTACGAATGCATACAAGTCGTTTTAGGGTCTCTAGAGAGCAAGATATTGGTGCCAAGTCAAAATCTTGCTTCAGCTTTTGGCACTGCTACTGAGCCCTTGTTTAGTTCGCGAAATTTGGATTTTGGGTTACTGTAGCATATTCGTTTTTATTTGACAAATAGTGTCCAAACATTGACTAATTAGGCTTAAAATATTCGTCTCGCAATTTTCCACCAAACTGTGCAATTAGTTTTTCTTTTCGTCTACATTTAATGCTCCATGCACAGGCCACAAACATTCGATGTGACAGGTATTGTAGCAATTTTTTGGATTTTGGGGTCCAACTAAACAAGGGCCGAAGCTTCTAGTACTCTCCACTCTAAACCTGTGAGCTGTGAGCCTGTGACAGTGTTTGCTAGTATCTTATTGTTGTCATCACATTTGTACATCAATCAGCTAGGGGGGTTCTAGGGGTGGAAAAATAGAATCCCATGGACTCATGGTGACATGAATGAATGTTTGCACAAAACTTGGAGCACAACACTACACCAGATGCAGTTTTCCAGGGCCAGAGCAACATATGGGGGCACAGAAGTTCAGAGTGCAGTTTGACTGCTGTATATACTGAATGAACTTTCTTTCAAACAAGTCTTGTTGTTGGAGAAGCCTTGTACTGTATCAATCAATCGTGTCCAGACTCCAGATAGCAAGACTAGACTTCCGCATTGCCGGTCACAGTCAGTGCCAACTGCCAATGAGATGTCATGCTAATGCATGAGAAGATGAATTTATCTACTCATATCAAATAACAGTTAGTTCTTATTTAGCCAGACATTTGCTATAAGCAACTAACAAAAAAAAAAAAAGGAAAAAGATGCATGCTTGCCAACCACTATATATGATTTATACTAGTACTACTCATCACCATTATATAAGATCAGAACACTGATGATATATAGTAGTAACAAAAGAAAGGAAAAAGAGAGTACTTCATCACTAGCTGGTACAAGTTGTTAATTTCCTTTTGCAGGAATTTCTAGCTCATCTCGCACTTGCATTAGCGGAGTGGAGAGATGAGATGGCATGGCATGGCTCCAAAACGCATGGTGTCTCATCATCCTAGGCAGCTACAGCTACAGGGAGTAGTTGGGGCTCCTCATCATGGCCTGGGCCAGGTACTGGAGCTCGCCGGTATCCACCTTGCCGGCGCAATGCTGCGCGGCCGCGGCGACGTCGTCCCTGAACCCGGCCATGAGCTCCGGCATGAAGCAGTCGTCGAGGGGCCCGGCGCCGGGTCTCCTGGCGCTGCACGCCGTGTCCTGGCGGAGCAGGGCGCTGATGCTGGCGCTGTCCGGCCACTGGTGGTGGTGGCTCGCCAGCGAGTGCGCGGCGCCCTGGACGCCGCACGCGAGCTGCGCCTTGGCCTGCATCAGCTGCGCTTGAAGGATGGCGACCTGCAATATATTTTCGATCAGGTCAAAGACAAACAAACAAGCTTGATCGATGATGATCTTCTGGCTGCATGCCAATAAAGAACAAAATCGATGGTCGAATATCGATCGAGCACCTGCTGCTGGAGGGCGAAGATCTGCGCGACGCAGCCGTAGACGGGGTCGCGGAGCCTGGCCTGCGCCTCGTAGGTGATGGTGACGACGGCCTCGCAGCGGTCGGCGACGGGGAGGTGGGACAGCAGCTTGGAGGCGTTGCTGGCGCCGAACACCTTGTGGATGGCGGCGAAGCGCGCGGCGCCCTGGTCGCTGCTGAAGTAGGGCGCGAACACGCACTCCGGCACGCACCGCCGGCGCAGGAACTTGCACGCGCCGCACGGAGACCCCGCACCCGTCGCGGCGGCAGCAGCCGCGGCGGCGGCGGCCCCTCCGTTGGCAGCAGCAGCAGCAGCTCCGGCCATGTCGATCGTCGTCGTCACTGGCGCAAATTAACAGCTAGCAAATTAAAAGAAGTGTTAACTAGCTAGCTAGTCGATCGCCGTCTCCGATTCCGATCCTACTGGTGCTAGCTATGGTAGGACGCGCAAGCTGCACCCTGCTTGTGGACTACCGGTGCAACTCGAGGAGAGATGGATTTATAGGAGGAGAGGGAGGGAGGCCAGGAGGGGAGCGCCGGAGCCCGGAGGAGGGGTAGTCAGGTAGGGCAGGGTGTCTGGTTTGAAGGGAGCAAACGTGTTAATGCTGTGTTGAAGAAAAGGAGCACCGTTGCTTGGCTTAAGCTGCCACCACCGATTTTTTTTTTTTTTTTGCCCTTTTTTTTAAAAGTTTTCACAAATATACCTCTGAAGGTATGCTTTTAAAATCTAGACCATTAGCTCGGCGCCGTAGTAATTGGCGCCGAGATTACACGTCTCGGCGCCATAATAATTGGCGCCTAGGTCTTGTGCCCACACCGGCGCCGAGGCAGACGTGGTGCAAACGTGGCAGCCAGCTCGGTGACATAGATCTTGGGGCCGACTTTGGCGCCGTAGATCATGACACCAAGCTCGGCGCTACATATTTGGCGCCGTGCCTGCCTGACATGTGGGCTCCCTTTCCTTTCTCTCTTCTTCATCTTCCTCTTCCTCTTTCCTTCTCTCTCGTTCATGCGACTCCTCGAGCCCGCCCGCCACCGGTGCCACACCACCACGCCCACGACCGGTCCTCCACGCCACCGCTCCAAGCCTGGCACGGCATGCCCCCCGCGCCGCCCCCACCTCGCCCCCCGCGCGCCGCGCCCGCCCGCCGATCCCATCCGCCCGCCGACCTCGTCCTCCTGCTCCCGGCGCACCGCAACCTCATCGTCGCTCCTGTTGTCCGCGTGGCAGGTCTGCTCCACCCGGGCATGACCCCGGCCCCTGCTCCAGCGTCCACGAGTGTGGCAGAACCTCCTAAATTATAGGGCCCACATGCACCTGTCATTGTCCAACGACCTTTGACATCTATGCATATATTCTCGGTAACTTAAGAAGACTGTCGGGTGTCCTCGGAGAACCCTGAATCATCCACGATTTCCGAGCATGATCCCATTACAGAGTCGTTGCAGTATACAATAGTTTATTCAAATATATACATCAGAGTAAAGATTAGCAGAAGACTTACAATAACATAGTTTACAAACCATTTGTTTCAAACCATACAACTAAGTTCGATAAATAATACAAACCAAAGTAGTGGAGTGGCATTATAACATATTACAGAACACACAAATAAGTTGCCCTGCCCAAGGGCCACACATTTACTTATCGTCATCGCACTGAACAACAGTCATGCAGCACGATCCAAAACAGATCTGCTCATGAGCCTCACCTGCAACAAGGGTCAACGAACCCTGAGTACAAAAGTACTCAACAAAACTTAACCAAAAATAAAAACTGATAGAACTTAAGAATGCAGGCTCAGGGATTCAAGGTATGGCTTTAGTAATAATCAAAGTTCTTTTACGTAAAAGCTTTTTAATAAAATTCTTTACATCAACATTTAAAACTTCATAAGATCATATACAAAGCTGACACGATCCGTATTGAGATCATGAAACTTCATAACCAACACCTTCACAAACCATCCTCAAATTCTAGTTATTAATACTACGATGATGAACAGTGAGTTGAGTCTCCATAGCCGAGGAGCAACGACGATTCGAACCGATTAAAACCCAGCTAGGAATTCCAGACCACACGACATATGCAGGTCCCTGACTTACATATATCAATCTACCCACGGATCCTCTAAACAAGAACGGGTCCACGCCACCCGAGAATACAGTACTCCACCAATCCAGCCCATTGCCACGTGGGTACACGCTATTCCCGCCATCTCTCCACTCCCAGTGCGCGAGTAGCCATTCTCGTAATAGAATAGCCGAGTTAAGGTTTACCAGAGTATGTGGTTAGTACTACAAAGTCTCACCTCATGCAATTCAACAACGGTACGGACCTTAATCGACACAGGCGGAAAGAACCCGCTCACAAGGCCTCCATGTCTTGCGGCTCCCCTACACTGAGTCCGCCCGGTCTAGATTTATTACTCCACATGCTCATATTTTATGATAACATAAATAACCAAGCGTAATCAAAGATCCATTTAAAATTCGCAGGTGACAGGGAATCACCCGACTTTTATTTGTCTAAGCATGACTAAGCATAACTAGCCATATACGAATTAAAACGGTTAACAAGTAGATATGGAAAAACAAGGTTGGTAATGCACCAATTAGGTTTTCACTTAACTCCTAATCACTTAATGCAGTAAAGAGAAGCAAAAATGAAATCAAGTTGTAAAACACAAGGTAGGTTTAAATGCATCCGGGGCTTGCCTTCGTTGACGGAAAAGTCCGGTTCCGGAGTCGTTCCACCGATATCAAATCCAACCTCCACAGACGGATCAACCTCCTCAACTACTTGATTAACTACCACATGCTCACCTTCGTTCACTACACGTAGTAATAATGCCATGTTTAACATGATGCGAGATACAAAATATGATGCTCGATGATGGATGCAAAAGTTAACAACTTGAATACAACTTTGCTTCACGGTACAGTTACAAGTCAAACTAACTAAACCTTTCCGTAATACTAACATCAATTGCCAAAGATCATTACCAACTAATGACCCAAGGTCATCACACAATCCAAAAATTCAATCAAAATCTAAATCATTAAAGGTTACTATTTGCTTTTATGAATTAATTATTTAATTAAGAATTATGAAATAAATTAAGTTGTTCCAATTGACCTCAATTTTATTTTTAAATGTTCATCACATGATAACTAAGTGGCAAAACAATTTTCATAATTTTTGGGTAAATAAATAAGCCTAGAAAAATCATGGAAACTCATTTATTAATTAATTGAGCAATTTTTATCACATTCAAAAAGTGTTGAAAAACAACATTTCATATTTTTCCTAAATAATATACATCACAGAGAAGTCACACAAAAAATTTCATAATTTTTGGAGCTCTAAATAAATCTACACAAAAATAACAAAAATAAACACTATTCATTCATTTCTGAAAAAAGGAAAATCATTTTCAAACCGCTGAGTCACTGACACCCGACCCCACATGTCATCTTCAACCTTCGGCGCTGACCACGACAACGACGGCGCTGACCGGCGAAAACTTGCCGACGGTGAGACCAACGGCGATGGCCAAGGTACCAAAACACTCTCCACACCACCCTGCATCGATTGACGGCACTAGCTTAAGCGATTACAGCGAGGATCGAGCTCGACGCCGGCCATGGCGGACACGGTGGCTCGGCGGCGCTACGCTGGCGAAACAAGTGCGGTAGCGGTTAAACAAACAGCTCAGGAAGAACCAGAAGCTCACCCCGAACACGTTGAAGGCGATGGACGAGCCAAAGGAACAACGGATAGGCGGGTCGACGGTCGCAGCGATCACGGCGAAGCAATCGACGGTGACGGCGATTTTTCGGTGACTGTGGTGGACAAAAGGAGCAATCAACTAGTCACAGAGCGTCACAGGAACAAGGCGAAGCTGTAGGTGCACTGAGGAAGAGCAACGGCTCACCAGAGAGCGCTAGCCACGGTGACGCGCTGGCGACGGTGAGGTTGCCAGCCGCGAGGAAGAAAGGCGCGCACAGCAGGTTCCCGGTGAAATCAAGTGACCACAGTTGGTTGGCTAGGTGCGCAAGGAGTAAGCGAAGCTCTTGATCGCTTTACTGCGATGGCACAGGCGCTAAATCGACGGCGAGGGCTCAACGGAGCAGCGGCGGCGGTGACTGGAAAACAGAGGAGGAGAAAAGAACGACGACGACGACGTCTCGGCCTTTAAAGGACGGCCAGGAAGCAAGAGGAAGCCACGACGGCGCCTTTTCTACGCCAGCGTGAAGCCGAGGGTGGCCATAGGCATGACTGGAAGCCCGGAGAAGCACGCCGGCGGTGACAGCTGCCCGCGGCTACTGTTCAACGTATTTACAGAATTGCCATTCACCAAATTTCGCAAATTACTCCCAAAATTACGTAATAACTCAAAAATCTCCAAAAACAAAAGTTGTTCAAAATTCAAAGTTCTACAACTTTGCTTTTATAACCATACCCAAATTCAGTCTACATTTTGAAATGCAAATTTGAATTAAAAAGGGGACACTTTAAGTACATTTCGCCTTTTCAAATTACTTCAAATTTTTCTAAACAACTTTGAAAACTCCAAAAACAAACTTTGTACAACTCAACAAACTCTACATTTTTGCTTTAAGGCTCAACCCCAAAATGTACTTTGTTTTTGAAATGGGTTTTTCGGGTCAAAACTAATCGCTGGAAATTAGGGTTTTCGGAAATCCAAATCAACACAACTTAGAACTCAGTTCAAACCATACAAGGCAACACTCATAACATAAATGTAAACTTGTTTTAGTGAATGCATATCAAAGTTTGCAATATGACCAAATGCCTTGCAATGCATATGATGACATGTCATGTTTTAGTATTTAAAACACCCGAGGTGTTACAATCCTTCCCCCTAAAAGAAATCTCGTCCCGAGATTCAAAGTCATAGGATAAGTAATGGAAAAGGAAATGTGTCAATCCAAAAATATCCAAAACCTGTTCATAAAACAGCTAAGGTTCCTTTACAAACATGGTTCGTAACAACAAAGCAAAACTAACATTCTTCTATATTGACGCAAGAAACCCTGGAAACTTTTCTAACAGGTAATCTTCAGATTCCCAAGTAGCTTCTTCTTCTGAATGTTGATTCCATTGTATCTTGTAGAACTTGATTGTCCTCCTTTGAGTAACACGATCTTTCTGATCCAAGACTCGGATAGGATACTCAGAATAGGTCAAATCAAGTTCAAGTTCCACTCGTTCAACCTCAACATTCTGCTCAGGCACTCGGAGACACTTCTTCAATTGAGAAACATGGAACACATCATGTACAGCTGCGAGATGTTTTG